GAGAATGTCTCAGTTGGCACGTAATGCATTGTTTGGTCCAAGTTACTATATCGGAATGCATTTTTGGCCAATAATATTTTTGACATTTCTTTAATGTTTTCTTTACTGATAGATGTCCTCCTCCTAACTGAGAAGAGTGGAATGAGTCAAATACTAGAGATCTGAGGTTGGTGGGAACAAAGATTTTTGCTTGAGATCCTGGTGTTTTAAAAATTAATAGTTCATTTTCTATGTATAGGTTCTTTGCTTTTTCAGAAAAGTTTTCTTTTTCCGTTTCACTAAAACCCTCTGGTATCTCCCCATCTGATAAAAATTTGATAAATGCTTTTGCCTCTGGGTCATTTAACTGCTCTTCTTTTATGTCTATTGTGTATGGGTTCTCGTCTTTATTTCGCACCACTAATGTATTGATAAATGAGTCTGACGCGATTCTAGTTTTTTGCTGAATATTTAGACATACGGGGAATTCTGCTATATCCTTTAATTCTTCTATATTTTTAATTTCTGTTTGTGTCTCTTCTTGAATTCTTGATAATGCGTCAGCTAAAGAATTTTGTTTGCCCTCTATATGAACTATCTTTATTTGGTAAGATTGTAGCTCTATTAGCCAGCGGGCCAGGTTTGGGTGAGCTTCTGCCTTTTTCAAAAGATATGACAAGGGTTTATGGTCCGTGTGCAGTTCAATGTCAGACATAAATATATAAGGCTTAAATTCCCTTAATGCATAAATTATTGCTCCTAGTTCTATTTGGACTGGTGGCCATTTTCTTTCAGAGGACGATAGGGTTCGACTACAATAGGAGATAGCAGAGTATGTTTTATTTTCTTCATCCCTTTGCATCAGGACCCCAGCCTGTCCAACCATAGAGGCATCAGTAAATATATGGAATGGCTTACTGTAGTCAGGGAATTTTAGTATAGGGTAATTTGTTAATAATTCTTTTATTTTGTTAAATGCTTTTTGTTGTTCTTCCCCCCATTCAAATTTTACTTCCTTTTTTGTTAGTCGTGTTAATGGTTCGACCCAATGTGAGAATTTCGGTATATGTCTTCTGTAAAAAGATGCCATTCCTACTACTCTTTTAATTTTTTTACATTTGTCGGATTCGGTAAATTTTTTATTATTTCTATTCTAGAAAGGTTTGGATGATACCCGTTAGAGTCAAGAGTGTATCCCAAAAAATTCATTTTTCGCGTTGCGAATGTGCATTTTTTAGGACTTAATTTGAGGTTGAATAAGCGAAAACGTTCAAAGACTTTTCTTAAAGTGAGTAAATGTTCATCAAAGTCAAGGGACTTAGTGTAAATTAAGATATCGTCTACATATGAAATTACGTGTTCTAATCCACTAAGCACATTAGCCATTGCTCTGGAAAAAGCTGCTGTGGCATTCTTTAAGCCAAATGGCATATGGGTCATTTGGTATACGTTATCCTCAGTTATAACCCCGCATTTCCTAGAAGCATTTTCTGTTAATTTTATTTGCAAGTACCCGCTTGCTAAGTCTAAAGAACTATAATAATTACAATTTCCTACTTTCTCCATGATTACCTCAAGTCTAGGAAGAGGGTAATGATCTGGTACTGTTATTTCATTCAATTTCCTAAAGTCAAGACACGGCCTTATTCCACCATCTTTCTTTTGTACTATAACAAATGGTGTTAACCACGGTGTGTCCGATTCAACCATAACACCTGCTTTGGTAAGCTGATCAATGTGTTTATGTAATTCTTCCCTATATTTAAATGGGGTTTTCCTTGGACCTACTGCTACTGGATCCTGAGTTGTGGTTATTATATCGAATTCTCCCGCTGTATACGAGCCGAGGTCGTATTGATTTTTACTAAAAATATCGCTAAACTCTTCACATAATGTTTTAAGTTTTCCTAAATCATTCTGATCTACTGAACATTTACTATAGTCAATTACAAATTTTGGGTCTATTTCATTTTCTTGTGATTCTAGTTTTTTGTCATTTTCCAACGTAAATATGCCTGTTTCAATTTCACCTTCTATTTTCCATGCTTTACCTAATGTCTGATTTTTATACAATTTAATCGGGCTTTGAGTGGGATTGAGAACTAATATTTTTAGCGCATTGTTATTATACTCAGATATAGTTGGGATTGTTCCTAAATGCATTTGACTTATTTTCTCATCAAGATTGTTTATAAAATAAGCTTGCTTGCTTGCTGAGTGTTCGTCTAACCTTCCCTCAATAATTGTTTGTGAATTCGGTTTTATCAAAAGTGCTTCTTTTACTGATATTTTAAAACAACCTTCCTTAACTGGTTCATATTTTTCCTTTTCATCTTCCCCTATTTTAAATTTTCTATTTTTAAAATCAAAGGTTAGGGAGGGCCACAGTTCAAATACATCGCATCCTAGAATTAAGTCAAAGTTTTTATCCTCAAATATGTTATTGTCTATGAAGAATATTGAGGTGTTGCATTCAATATTACCTAATATTACTTTTACTTCCCCTTTATTAAGCGCACTAATTGCATGACCTGAAGCACTAACTGCTTCTGCTTTTGTAGGCACTAAGTTCCAATTATTTTTAATTGCCAGATTAATGGGTGCTACTGATATGCTTGCTCCCGTGTCCAAGAGACACCTTAATTTTACATTATTTATCATTACAGTAGTGGTAGGAAGAGACTGACTGTGTCCTTTTATTGCGAGAAGATTTAACCCCTTAGGCTCCTGCGGAAGGATCGGAGTGTATTTGATTTCTGGGTTTATTTCTTTTAATTCTATAGTTTGGGTTAATATTTGTTTTGGCCGGTCTACATTGCTTTTTGCTTCCTTTGGTTTGTGTTGGGTCCTGTATTTTTGTCCAATTAGTATATCCCTTATTATTCCATTACCTAAGTATCTTTGCATCATAATAACTAGCAACCTTAGGGTGAAATCAATCAGCGATATACAAGTTATTATAGTTATAAAGATTCTCCATTCATGGGTCCAGTCACCAAAGATGTGATTACTAAATTCACTTTTTGCTTTTTGCCATGTGTTCGAAAATTCTGCTATAATTTTGGTGTCTTTCTGTCTTATTTGGTAAGTTATTTCACTAATTTTAAATGCATTACTTAAATGGGCATGAGTGTTAATATCTGAGATATTTACTAATACCAATTGGTGAAAGGCTTGACTAGATAGAGGTTGTATTTTTTCAAAACGAGGATTAAACGTTTCATGGTTCCTTGGATTTATCTTTCGCATAGTCGCGGTTACCTGGTCTACTTCAAATGTATCATTCTCTAATTGGATTATTATTAAACGCGACATTGCACAGTCAGTCTTATGGGCATCGTGAACAATCTTCATTGTTTTAGGGTCTATAAACGCAAAATGCTGTTGCTTTTGTGAGATAAAGCTAATAGGTAAATGTTCAAAACATTCTGTTACAGAGCCAGTGGGGACGAACCGGAATTGTTCATGTGTGATAGGAATACAAGGCCATACTTTTATAAGATTGAATCCCATTCTTTCTGCATGTATGTCTGGGTTATTAAATATTGTTCGTGCTAGTATTGTAGGGTCAGTTAGTAGTGCTAGTTCAGCCCATCTCCAAGTATTTTCCATAAAATCACACAAAGTCTTCATTGTATGAGAGAAGGTAAACGATAGCGTGCTTGATAATTGCGTGTGTAAGTATGTCAATTCAGAGGCTAGTTGGCTTGCTGTCACTATCCCCTCTAGTGCCCTTTTATTCCGTTTATATATTGGCTTAACTTTTTCCTGAATTATGAGGTATGCTAGACCCTGCTCTGTTGGATTTACTTTTTGCCCACAGTTTGTGCCCGTATTCTTTGTTTTTATATCAGTAAGGGCAAGTGGGTGCTGGGACGCAATCCACAAATTGTCAATTACAAAACCATCATAATCCCCTATAGATAGATATTCACAGTTAGCTTCCGGGACTATCTCCCATATTAAATGTGTTCCATCAGTTAAAGAACAAGACCCCTTTTTATAAGTGCATTGAATGTTTTCCTCTAATGGGGTCTGAATGTTTTTCTCGCCAAACCTTGAAGTGATTGGAGTTTTAAAGAGGTAACAATTTTCAGTGTACACCCTTTCCCAATTAAATGATCCTAAAAGCCACGTCCTTGGTGTTAAGTCTAATTTAAAGTCGGTATGAAATAACTCCCCCTCCTGCTTCAGAATTCCCCATTCGCATTTTTTGTATTTAATCATATTTTTACATTCTTCATGTGTTACTATGATTGGGTCAATACTTAGAGGTTTCTCAATATGAACTCCTGTGAGTGAGGTATATTTCGCCATTGCTTTTCTAACTTTTCTGCATGCCCACGCCTTTGCGGTATGTTCCAGGTTATTAGGAGAATATATTCGCCTTCTTTGCGGTATAGGACTTTTTGACAAATTTGTATTTTGTTCAGGGCATCCAGGAAATTTAGGAAGGTTCCAGAGTATCCCGTGTTCTCTATTTTGGCATATAAGAGGATATTTGGGAAATGGTATATCTGCATTAGCTATTGGGAGCATAAACATCATCAACGTTAGTGTTATGTAAAATAGCTGTTTCATTTTAGGAGGTGTGGAGGTTTGTTCCCAATCAGATATACTTGATTCAACGTTGTATGGTTCCCGGTTGAGAATGGGTTCTGTTCTATTCGTTTGACCCTGACTTTTATATTCAACAGGTGCACTACACTTTGCGGACTCATATAAGTTCATATTTTGCATTTGACTTGATAATGTGGAGGTTTCTACACTCTGCGGATACACTTGAATTTCTTTCGGATAATTGTTCATTGGGTTACCTTGATAAAATACTTGCGGGGACGTGTGATAATACCCGTGGGAGGGAGTGTTTGAAGAGCCCTGGGAATAAGTTGGCTGGTTGTTCATACCCGTCATAAATGTGTGCGTGTCCGTATACTGTTTGTTTGAGGATTGAATCATGTTTATACCCTTGTTATTTCCTAGTCCCATATTTGCTCTATTTTGAGAGAAATTTCGCCCACCTCTAACCACTGCATTGCTGTTTGTTGGCATCTGTTTCCTTCTCCAACAATTGTATGCAATATGCCCAGTCACGCCACAATGCGTACACATAGGTCGCCCACTCCAGTTTCTTTCCCCATATCCTCGGCGGTTGTTTTGGTATCTTCCATTTCTTTGGTTTGCAGAGCCACCACGCCTGAAATTTCGATAATTATTGTTTGGTCTTTGATTAGTGCCAAAAGGTCTTTGAGGTTGGTTTTGGTACGATAGATTATTTGGAACTCTGTTATTATTATTTGAGATGGGAGTCCATGAGGTTATATTCTGATTAGTGGAGTGGTCAACTTGCGGTTGTATAGCATTTATGGCTCGTTTTAACGCTTCTTCTTGTGAATCATTTCCAGAGGCTAAAAGCGCTTCAATTTCCTGTGCCTTAATGTAGAGTTCATCCAGACTCGTAGCGGTTCCTACAAGTCTAATCAGAAAACTAATATTGGGTTTTAATCTTTCTAAAAATTCATCTCTTATTTTTGCCTGTTGTTGTTCTTCCGTTTCATTTTCAAAAGTTGCTTTTACTAATGGGGTTAAACGTTTCATAAACTCAGAAACCGTTTCAGATGGTCTTTGTCTACATAGTGTAAGCTCACGTTTGAATAATTCCCTTCTATGCGGGGCTGTCAATCTTTTCCTTATAGAAGCTAGGGCCTCTTTTACTGTTCTTTTTTCATTTTCCTCTAATTTATCGAAAATGATTCTAGTTGTTCCCTCAAGGTATAATTTTAGTCTATGTATTTTTGTTTTTTCGTCCCAAGTAGTGGGGGCACAATCCATTAGGTCAGTGAATTTCTGGGCCCAAGAGTCAAAAGACACTACAGACTCTTCCCTGTATGTGGTTGTGGCTCCCTCTTTGTCTAACAGGCTTAACATGTTTAATTCCAATTTTAATGGTTCGATTTCCTCAATTCCTGTGTTTTCCCCATTATTTTTATTTTCATTAAACTTATCGACTTTAGAAGAGATTAATGCCACTTTTGAGTTTACTGTTGATAAATGTGTGTTCACTTCCATTGCCATTTGATTTATAGCATTTGTATTGCTGTTTGCTCTCCTGTTGATTAATCTGATGTTTCTGTTTAATGAATCTTCAAGAGTGTGTGTAGCTTGTAGTAGTTTATCCAAATCAGCAATTTTTGCATATTCTTCGTTGCTTTTACCCCGGTAGAGGTTTTTATTGATGAATGGAGTTTCTGATTCTATTGGATCTGTCTCACTCATCCACCACTTTGTTTATTGTGTTTGTAAAGTTTATTTTCTAAATTTCAAAAATTAAAAAAACTCCAAAATTTATTTTCAAAACTATAGTTTATTTTCTAGATGCAGAAATTTATTTTTTTTATTTTGTTAAAATTTCTCACAACCTAACATTTATCTTTAAACTTAACTATTTCAATAACAATTTAAATTGTGGATTTGTTTCCCTAATGCTTAATACTATATTAATAATTCTATTGTAATTTTAATAATGGTTTGTCAGGCTTTTCTTTTTTTTATATTAATGGTTGGACAAGCTCTTTTATTTGATAACAGTTAAAGATTAGAAGTGTTTACATTGCTTCTCATACATTTATCCTTTTTTCCCAGCCATTAAATTTTCAACTTGTAATAATTTTATCCCGTCTTCTTTACTTTTTTATTGTAATTTTGAAACCTTTACACCTCTGATTAGTCATTCTCGTTTTCACGTGGATAACCTTTGGATTTTTATATTTTACTTATTTCCACCTTACTTCAATATCTACTCTATACTAGAGAGTCGGATTTTTACATACCCGTGAATGGACAATAAGAAATTGTAGCAGAATAAACACTGTCGGTACTCTGGAAAATGGACCAACAAACCAAGAAATAGGGCCGGGACCTGATCCCTTTACACCCTCTACTATGTACTTATGAATCTTTGATGAAGCGATTAAAACCAAATGATTTAACCTCCATCTATTCACTAAATTCCCTTTACATTATACTCAATTGTAAGTGCAAATACTCGATTAAACCTCCTCCTTGTATATTTATAATTGACATTAGCCTTTATGATTTAATTAAATAATTATGTAATTAAGGAGATACTTTTAGTATTATAAAACAAAAAAAAAATTCAATAAATAAAAAATTCGTGCTATTATGGTTTAAGTTCAAACCAATAACTAAAAATTATAAAAAAGGCATTTGTTAAAAAAATGAGGATTTAATTCTTTAAACTTATGTGGGAGTAAAAAACAAATATTTTAGTAAAAGCAAACAAATATTTTAATACATTTTTGACAGGTTCTTCTACACAAATAAATTGAATTTATGTTGGTTCTTATTATATTTTACATACTATGTAAATTTGTCAATTATATTTTGTGTTCATTATTATGAGAAGTAAATTTTCTAAACGCAAAATAGATAACTTATCTTTAGATCTCAATATCTTTTAGGATAATTCTATATCCTTATTTCTAGTGAGAATATATTTATAGGTCTTTCTGGAAAATACACTCTTTATTACATTTTTCCTCATGATACCAATTCATTTGTAACCCACCTTTTTAATAAATCATCAATTTTTCTATCTATTCAAAATTTTAAGTAATAAACACAATAGATAGGCCAATCTAATAATTTTTTCTTCTTCGATAATGTAATTTTCCTAATATTGAGTTATCTTCCAGAAATTCACTAATATTACATTCAAAAAATTAGCTAATAAATGAGAGAGAGGCACAAGTAAAATTGTATTAAGATTTTATTAAGCTTGCGAACGATAAAAAATACATGAAAGGATTTCCTAATAAATAAGAAAAAATTTGAAGTTTTAATTGAATCATTAATAAAAGAGAAATAAAAGCAATTTATCTAAAAACTCAAAGCTATTTAACACGAATGTAATAAGTAAAAGCCAATAAAAGTGTTCACTAACTTTACATGTATTTTAAAATTTTATATAGACGGTAACAGATTTTCTGTTTATGTTTGGTAAAAGGATTTTTATATAATGTAACAATGTTTGCAAACAATAATAATAAATTATGGATGTAACTAAAAAGGAAACAAATAAATTTTTCCAACAAAAATGTAATGACTAATATTAAAACTGTTAAACTGTTTTTATAAAGGGATTGCGGGAAAATAATATGGAATAAATTTAAAACATTTCTTACAATTTGTGCAAATGTTACCTAAAATAAATAGCTATTGTCCATCGGTCTATGAATGTTTCTTAAACCATTTTTCTTTTGAAATGTTTTTATTCTCAAAAAGGAGGAAAGATGTGTTTTGGTCCCATCCTTTTCTCATTTTGTATTTTAGAAAAAAGTCATATAAAATGGAAAAAACTAAAAAATTTTAGATGGATCCAAAAAAACGCCAAATCGAAGATTACCAGTCTATATTTTCTTAATTCGCAACTTTAAACTTTACTTTTTTTTGTCTTCCTATTTTCCTTCCCCTTTTTCTTTTCTTTTTTTTCTTTTTTTGAAATTTATTGCTCTTCTTGTAACGTGAGGAACACGTCCTCCATTTTATGTTTTACTTAATATATGCCCGAAACAACCAAAAGAATATAAACAAACACCAAAAATAGAATCAAAATTATAAGTTAAAAACAGTAAAACAATATTAATTTAAAATTTTGTAAATATTCCCTAAAGACCCCCGTATTTTCTATATACTCTCGTTAAATAATGGTGTAATATTCGAAATTATCAAAACACAAAAGGGAAGTCTAAAATTAAATTCTAACATAAAAATTAATATTCGACCATAAAGTTAAAACACCTTTAGAATGAAAATAAATAAAGATAGAAAATAAAAACTAAATAAGAATAAATAATAATGTCCCGATGAATAAAATGCTGTCAATAATGATTCACCTTTTCCCTGAAGAAAATTATGGCTGCAAAAAAAATTTCATTATACAATAACAAAAAGTCATCACGAGAGATAACATAAAAAATTGTAAAAAGTTCCGCCTGGAGTTTTTTGTGACTGGCGTTTTAATTTCGATTTTTCTGAGTTCCCTTGTTTTCCTTCCTCTTTTTTTTGTTTTATTACTTTTCCCTCCTTATTTTTTGGAAATTTATCACGTGAGGAGCAGACAAAAGAATAACCAATCTTTAAAAATGAAACATTTTCTGTCATATTTCGTAATATTGAGCAAAAAGATAATATGTCAAAATAAATACTTTATAGGGACTTCTAGCAGTTATCGAATAAATTCGAATTTTTCTTGAAAGTAATTTTGTTTTATCTTGAGACGTTTTTATGGATATAGATTGAATTTCAAATCTTTTTATCTTTCTCCGCTAAGTGATTCCCCTTGATTGTGTTGGTTTGAGTTGTGACGCACTTATAGATTAATTAAATCCTATTAAAAAAAATACTTTTTTTTTGAAGTGGTTTTTCTTATTTGAAGTGGTTCTTCAAAAGAACCATCCGGTGCTACCAGTGAGGTTTACACGTATTGGGCCACCCAGTAAATTAAATGAGGCGAGGTATCGACACCGTGAGGGCTACTCTATCTTCAAATACAACGTTGTATGTGCTCCGTTAGAAGCAAAGCTTAGGCCCTAATTGTTGCGCATAAAATAATATTTATTTAAATGTAAAATTTAAAATCGCGATTGAATAAAGTAAAGTTAAAGCTAACAAAATTATTAATAATATAATTGATTATAGAGTCGACATTGAATAACAAAAGAGAACGTTCCCGGGAAAAGAAATTTAGCGCTTATTAATAAACAATTAGCTAGCGTCGCTGCTCTCCGACAAAGTGATCGCTTTTCTTCTCCCGTTGGGCCCAACTAGACTGATCCCTTTCAACTGTTTTCCCATGCATTAAATAATCCTATCCTTATCCTTATAGGGCGGGTGCTTAAGTGTTCTTCCTGCTTGTCAAGGACAAGCACGGCCTTACAAGATATATTATAACGAAAAATGCCAAAAAACGCATTTTATATTTCATTATTTAAGATTCTGTAAAAATTAATTGACAATTAAAATAAATTTTCTGAAAGAATTTTGATAGTTATAAAGTTGATTTTAAATTATAACATCAACATGTACCTATGTAAGTATTTGGAATTTTATTTTGGAATTTATTTTCTAAAATGCTTACTTAAATAAATAAATGAGTTGCTAAAATCAGAATTATTATTTTAGAATTAATGTTTAAAATTTAGATTTATAATTTATTTTTAGCTATACCTATTCTAAATTCCTAATAAATATTTTCAATATTTATACACGATACATATTTGGCTGCAAAATAAATTTATAATTTTTTTTTGATTTATTTTATAAAATTTTATACGATTTCCTAAAGTATATACATTTTTTTTATAATATTTTATACTATTTATAAATAGTATTAAATATTTATATTTATTCTCACATGAAAGTGAGAGAAATGAAATAAATATTAACAAAGGGAAAAAGAATATCTTTATTTTATAAATCTCTTCCATTTTTTAATTTTCCTTCGTTTCTTCCGCCTTCCGCTTTTTAAAATTCAAAATTATCCAGCCCTCATATGAATCTATTAGTGATGCGCGGGTATCCCGATACTGACTCCCTAATCGGGAGATTAGGGAGTTTTTCATTTCCGTCCCGACTCCCGCTTTCAGATACTCGGGTTTTTCTCTTCTCCCGAGTAGAGTTAGGTCGGAATTCCGATTTCCGGCGTTTTTTCCCTCCGGTTTCCGAAAAAAATTTTGATTTCCGATTTCCGACTTTTCAGATTTCCGACACCTCTGACTGTTCCGATCGGTAAAAGTCCAGCTCGCTATCTATATGTCCGCAAAAGCATTTCTGCAAAACTCATTTCTTACTGTATTCTCCTTCTTTGCTTTGATGGATTGACAACTGGCGCTTTTACATTGTGGCGTAAATCAAGAAAAAGGGTTTATTTACAAATAAATAAAAATTTTAATAATATATCCTAACTCCCTAATCGTGAAATTTTTCCGAGTTTTTGGTTTCCCGAGGTAATTCCCGTCCTGACTCCTGCTTCCCGATACTTGGTTTTTTTCTTCTCCCGAGCAGAGGTGGGTCGGAATTCCAATTTCCGGCGTTTTTTTCCCTCCGATTTCCGAAAAAAATTTTGATTTCCGATTTCCGAGTTCCGACTTTGAGCCAGTTCCGAATTCCGACACCTCTGACTGTTCCGACCCACCCCTTCTCCCGAGCATCACTATTATTTATGTTGGAATTCTTATAATTTTCCTAATGTTTTCCAACATTAAATTTTTTTATATATTTATATTATTTTATAAAATTTTATTTATATTACATATTTTATAAAATTACTATTTTATACTATTTATAAATATTTTATACTATTTATGTGGCCCCCCCCCCCGACCCGAACCCAGACAGATTCTTAAAAAATATTTTTTACATAATTTAATGAATTTCAAAAGTCAGAAGAATTTCAAATTTCAAAAGTCATATTAAATCAAAAAAAAATAAATTTAAATGTTACATCATAAATCATTTTAAATAAACTCAGACATAATTAAATTAATATAATTTAAATAAATTTTTGACAATTTTTTATAAATTAACTCTTCTCTTTGAAACAAAAACAAGTAAAGCACCAACAAAAATAAAAGTAAATGAAAGTAGAATAATATATAAATTCTTTCGATTCTTTAAAAATATTTTATTTATTTTATTATTAAATTAAAAACTTTACCAAAGGTATTTCTTTAAAATAAAAAATACTCCAAACAGAAGCAACACAACCGGGAATAGTAATTAATATTGGGTATGAAACTGTTTGGGTAAGTAAATCGTTTGAAAGGAACAAACACATCATTCCACAACCCCAAATTGCTCCACTTAATAATGAAGGTAAAATAATTTTTGGATTGACTATTGGGTGATTTCTCCTTAAATTATATTAAATTTTAAATTAGCGATAGTTTTAAAATTAAACGGAAAGGAAGGGGTGGCGATCGACTGTGGGTTTTTTGTTAAGAATAGGGTAGCACCCGCCCACCGAAACCCCGACCTGACCCTATATGAATTTTTGGACAAACACCCAGACCTGAACCCAGACAAACCACCACGAAGGCTTGGGGTGCTACCCTAGCCAAAAATAGTATCATAAATCTATAGATCTTCTACTAGAGATATTCTACTAGAGATCCTCTATCCTTAAAATACTTCCACTAGTAAAAATTTGTAATAATTTCTATTTAAATTAAGCTCTACTTAATAATTGAATATCCGATAAAAATGCATGTTGCCCCAATAAACACACCAAAATAATGTGAAAAAATGTAATTTAGTCCACTTTTTGGAGATCCTGGAAAGAGTTCCAAATGGTCTTGAATATCTAAAAAGATATTGTAGAAATTATTATTTAGAATTTGAACATACATATAACTGGAATGACTGTAACAGAGAAGAAAAACCCAGAAATTAAAGCAAGACAAATACATCTATGAAATTTAAATTAAATTTCTTAGTAATGGAATGTTTTTATCTTGTAACACTCAAATGGTTTTCAAGACCGCTAGATTTTAGTATGATCTTTGGAGTTAATAAAAATAATTTCTCAATTATTATTTTTTAGTTCAAAAAATAATTTATATAATTATTTTCTAATATAGGAAATAGGGTTGCCAAAATGGACCGGAAAATCGAGTTAGGCCTATGATATTTGGTCGAAACTAGATAAAAATGAGGCCCGAAAAACTTCAACACCAATAGCGAGCATAAAATAGAATATTAGACTGTAGTGATGTTCAAGACTGTCTTGGTTCCCGAGTCGGGAAATTTACCGGGTTTTTGAGCTCTCGATCTCGGTCCGAGTCTCGGGGTTGATTCCCGGTCTCGGTCTCGGCTTTTTTTCACTCCCGAACATCACTGGTAGACTATTCAAATCCTTTTAATGAATTTACAGTAATCGATGTGAGTTGCGCATCATCCATTTCCTTATTCTTTTGGATAATCCAACATTGTTTTGACTAAATCTTTGGACAATTCTTTTAAAATAATTTGAAGAGTTCCCAACATTGGTTTCATTTAAATTCTCTTTAGATTCAGTCTTTTTATTTGATGAATGTGAGGATAAATCAAAACTAGATTTTCTTATATCTAATATTCGATGTCCACTGATAACCAAACCAACTCCATTCATTATTTTATGATTATAATTATTACTTTGATGAAATTCTGAATTCTCTAAAATTAAATTTATGAGTCGTATCTAATTTTATACCTAATTTAAAAATGTAAGCAGGTGATTGGAAATTTGAAACTGGCTCGTAACCGGACTTCATAAAGGTTCTATTTTTCCCTTGTTTTCAACCACTTAATTTAAATAAAAAGAAAGTTTTGGAGATTATTAAAGCTTAATTAACACAAAAAAGACAAACTCATAATTAAGGAATACGTTTTGTAGTTAATTCTTTTATTATTGGATTATTAACTCCATAAAATTTTTATTAATTCTTTCATTCAGAATTATCTAATCAGCTGATTTTTTAAAGCTGATTCAGCTCGATATTAGAATTTTTGACATAAAAAATGGGAATCAATGAGCTTTCGGTCTTAGTATTGTCTTGGAAAATTTTCGGTCTCGGACGTCTCTAATAGGTATGTATATTAATTACCTTCTTCAAAAGGCTCATTTGATCTTTGATTATTAATCCTTTTTCTGCTTTTATCACTTTCAGAAAATGACCTGCACATATTTGAACTACAATTCCTACCAGGAAATATATGAACTTGCTTTTTGTTGTTTTGTAAAAGTCTTTTCTCAATAAAAGCAAAACAAATACCTCTAAATTTAAAATAAATTTTTAAATTTTCAAATCTCATAATTTATTATGAGGTAGTTTTTCCCCCAGAAATTAGAAGGTGATCAAAATCGAACTTACATATGTACTTGTTTTTTTTATTTAAAATATTTTATCACTAATTTTCCTTTCTAATTTAATCATTTAATATCCACTCCTCACCCAATTATAATTGTTATCAGACCGACAATGTTGAGCAATTCATGTTCAGGTATTTTTTGTTTAAGGCCAAATAATCCAAATCGGCCTGTAGACCATCCTGTTAGTATATTTGTTGTTGACCATAATAAAAGGGCCGGGGCTAGGCCGAGACCGAAAATAACAATGTAGGCAAGTGAATTTGCTAAAATAATGATTAGAATGGGGTTTCTTCCTCGTATTGGGAATTGTAGAAAGTAGGGATAAAAGTTTGAGTGATTTAAATAATCACTTATATGTATGCCTCATCCAACTTGAGAAATCTTCGTACTTTAATTTTATTTTTACACCAAACCCAACCTATCGGCCAAAGCATTCCTCCACCAGTTACTGATAACCGAAAGGGTGGAGATCCCATCAAAATATTTATAATAAATCCAATAATCAAGCTGCCAAAGGACATTATCCATTGAATAAAAATTCCTAATTAATTTTTAAAAAATCTGAAAATAATTTAAAATACTACCATCATTTCCCTTTGAATATTTCTTGATTGGGACGTGCTAAATAGTAAATTGTTTAAAATTAAAATATACCTATCAGGGATCGCGCCGACCCGATTCACGATTCACGAAAATCGTGAATTCAAAATTTTCGTGAATTCACGATTCACGAAAATCGTGAATCCGAAAATCTCGTGAATTCACGTTCCCGATTCACGACATTTTTTCTAGAAATCGGGAAAAAATCGGGAATTTTTATTAATTATGGGAGCTAAAAAAGGAAGAAATATGGTGAATTGGACTGCAAAAATTCTTCAAATTTTCGCCTGCGGCGCCAAAAAAAGAAGAAATCTGGTGACTTGGTCTTCAAAAATTCACAAATTTTTCGCCTGCGGCGCTGAAAATGGAAGACTTCTGGCTTCTTTGCTTCCAAAATTCTCAAAATTTTTGCCTGCGGCGCAGAAAATTGAAGAAATCTGGCTTCTGGTCTTCAAAAATTCTTCACATTTTTATCTGCGTCGCTGAAAATGGAAGAAATATGGCTGCTTGAGCTCCGAATTTCAAAAAATTTTCGCCTGCGGCGCTGAAAATGGAATAATTATGATAAGTTCTAAGGATTTAGAGAGAAAGGGAAAGAAATTCACATTTTCCGGCACCTAATTAATCCTCCCCTAAATTCCTTAATACTCCCTCAGATCTTTCATCGATATCAGTATTAATCCCCAACTCCATCCTCTACTAGGCTTCAACTGATCCACATCTCTCTGGCTCACTCACCTCTGGTTCTTCCGATATCTCTTCGAATCCTCTGAATATCAATGGCTCAAGAGATGTAGGTTGTATATCGGTGATTTGGAAAGCTAGAAGATTCAATTTATCTCTAGATCACTCATAATCCTCCAACTGCCCTAATATCCCTCAATACATCTTTATTACCTCAAATCCCCTTATTTTTGATACACTTATATCTCTTAAATATCCATTAATCAATTAAGAACCCCTAGTACATCTAACCCCTAGTAATTACTTCTAATCCCCCCAAAAAAGGCAAAATTCCCAAATTCCCGAAAATTCCCGAAAATCGTGAATTCCCGACGATTTTTGGGTCGTGAATTCCCATTCACGAAAATCGTGAATTCGAAATTTTCGTGAATTCACGAGTCACGAAAATCGTGAATTCGAAATTCTCGTGAATTCCCGATTCACGAAAATCGTGAATTCGAAATTTTCGTGAATTCACGATTCCCGAAAATCGGGAATTTGATTTTCTGTCGGCGCGTTCCCTGATACCTATTTTAAAAATTATTGCTTTAGATTCTTTCGATTTTAAATGGATAACTTAGAAAGAGTTTGGCAAAAGTTTAGCCACCGGGCAGGATTTAAAACTGCGACTCCTTCCTGACAGTTATTGCTAGGAGCTTTCGCTCACCATATACAGAAGCTCTACCACTGACAAATGAACTACCGGGGCATCGACTAATGCTTTTCTCTTTTCCTTTTAGATCGTTTAACCCCCGCCTAAGCGTTTTAAATGCTGCTATTTAGATGAATCATCCTTACAACATTTAGATACATTTTAAATCCTCCAAAATAGTCCCCTTCTGAAAAATAGTGCACCCCCAAACGATTCAGGCATTTGGATTGAATCCCCTATCCGGCTCATACTCTTATTGAAAACTACAATAATTATTTTTAGCTATTTTTTTAAACCCTCAGAAAAGTCGATAACACGACCAGGATGTCGTCTCCAGACTAAAAGCATACTTTATTGGTTGTATTTTTTCTTACAATTTCTAAGATAAAAAATTCTGATTCCAGAAAAAATTAATGAGATTTACGGTCAGAAAGAATCTTGACCAGAAAATATTAAAAATTATAAAAAATTATTTTTCACAAAATTTACCAAAGAACCAAAACATAAAGCTCCAATTAAAACAACCAAAATTCCAATAATATTCCCTCCATATCCTTTATTCTCTTCAACAAATTCATTTAATATAAATTTCGAAACATTCCAATTTGAATAAGGTAAATAATTATTTTTAATAGGCATTTTTAATGATGATGTTTTTTAAATAATTATTTAATAATTGTGATTATTAATTTAGAGTTTTTCTTATCAATAAAATATTTATTTTACTGTTGGGTAGTTATTCAAAAATAAATACTTTTTTGAATGATTAAAAATTAATAATTATACAAAATTTTATTTTAAATTAATCAATTGTTAAGCAGCTTTATTTTTAGGTGATAATTGTTAGGAAAATTTGTTTATGTGTAAAAATTAATTTGAAAATTTTTTGTAAAAATGAAATAATGAATTAACCTTTGATTCTTTGTTAATTAATTATCTAGAGATTCCCCATAACATTTCTTTTGGATCATTCATTATTTTTTTTTGAATGATTAAAAAGGATGAGCAATCTCCCTATATGATTCGATCTATCCTTATACTATTGTAATTTTCTTTCAAATAATGAATCAAACTGTTATTTCAGTGATTTAAACACTTTTTAATAATTAATTAGCAATTTTGCCCTTTATCATTATTATTCAAATTATTCCCTTTTCCTAACTTTCAAATATTTTCCCTTTCATTTGTAGTTAAAATAACAATAACATATAGCTTATAAAAGGTTATTTAAAAATTAAAGTGATAACTAGAGGGCGGATTCTTATTGAAATATATTTTTTTTCCTGAATATATTATGTCGAGAAAAGCTCAAATATGCCATTAGTTTTTCGATATTATGATTTTGAACAAAGATATATTTCAATATATTTCAATATTTTGCCAATTTTTCAGTTATTTCAATATTTGGCACTTTTTTCAAATTATTTCAATATTTTTGGATATTTTTACCAAAATTTAGGGATTTTTCATAAATTTTAGGAAAAAAGTGAAGAAATCTGGCTGCCTGACAACAAAAATTCACAAAATTTTCGCCTGCGGCGCTGAAAATTAAGAATTCTGGCTTATATAGGGTAATTCTTCTGGGAGATTGTACTTGCACTTTTTGTACTTACACTTGGAGTACGTCGAGTGGATAAGCTCACAAAATGTCACATCCTCATTTCATCATCTCAAAAGGCCTAAGAGAGTAAAATTACCCAATTCGTCAAACTATAAAGCTAATATGCAATTTTAAAAACTTACTAACTTTTTTTTGTTAAATTTCAACTTTTTTTGGCTTTTTGCTAGTGAATATACGAAAATTTATTTCAATATTTCATTAAATTTTGGCATTTTTTGTCAATATTTTGCCCATTTATTTCAATATTTTATGGCCATATTTTGCGATTTTATTTCATTAAAAATCCGCGCTCTAATGATAACAATTAAAATTATAACTCGATTATATTAATAAATAGCAAGTTTAATATATTTATTTTTGCCAATATTTTTTATTTAAAATCAATTAATAGAAAATGAAAGTTTTTATTTAATTATTAAAATAGCTTAATAAAAAGCTGGATTTAAGCTATACGCTAAAGCCAAAAATATTTTTTGCGTCATAAAATATTTTCTGAGATGTGGCAATTCATATGAACAAATATTTAAAAATAATTTTTAAAAAAATTTATTGAAAAGACCAAAGAATAATTTCAGAAAAAAACAAAATTAAAGAATTTCTTTTACTTTTAATGAAAAAAAAAATTTAAAAGATTTTACCAAATTTTTATTTGTTATGAAATTTGTATTCCTCGAGTGGAAAGTAAATATTCGAGGGTAGGGGGAGGGGGGAAGTTCTGTTTATATTTTTAGGTTTAAAAAGAATTGTTTCTTTAAATAAATAAATAATTTTTGTTCTTTTAAAGTCTCGTGCAAAAAAATAAATTTTCTATGTAGGGCCCTATTCTAGTCTTAAATTAATATGGATTTTTGTTTACATTAAGGTCAAGGGAAAGAAGTTCAATTAAAAGGAATTTAAAATTTTTATTTAATTTTTATTTATGCTTTCCTGCAGAATATTTGAGATATTTTTCGGTTTTCCGTGAAAAATATAAAGATATTTATATAATTTTAACTAATTTATAGCCGAGCAAATATTTATGTGGAGTAAAAAAATCCTTTCAAAGAAAATAATTCTATAACAATATTAAATAAAAACCGATTAAATATTTAAAGTTTATCATCTTTAGAATTTTTTTTCAAATAATTATTCAAACATTTTACAGGGCTATAAAGTTTCTATATTTATTTCATTTTTAATATTTTTTGAAATTTCCTTTTATTTGAGAATTTCTAAATATTATACAATAAAAGTATTAGAATTAATTTTCTTGAAATTTTGTTATTTTTGTATAAAATTTTCTTGATATTTTTCCACCATACGTTGCTCGAGAATGTGGAAAATTCATGTGCGTATATTTTTAAATGTTTATAATCGTAATTAATTACTGTTTAATTAATAATAAAATTTTCTAATCCGAATCCTTGCTTGTTTACATTTACTTTACTAAATTAATTTGAAATTTTAATTCTTTTATTCTATCTGTGTAAAATTATCGAAAATTATATTTTTAACATTTATTTCAACTAATTATGATCAAAACAATATTTAGTGAATAGCTTGAAAAATAACATAAATTTCTAAATTTAGTTTATCTACTGAGATAAATCTAATTATACTAATGTAATACCTAAATAGTATTTTAAAAAGTTCCAAAAGAAATTTCCGAGGATTCAATTCCACATTCATCCACACCTCTAGCAATTTTGAAATATCCATTCATTCCCCAATCATAATTCCATTGGTTGGCACACAACCAATAATCCAAATGTGTTCCGTCTGGATAAGTGTCTGTACCCCAACCAATCATTCTAACGGCATGTCCGCCTACATAAACATCAGAAGTTTGCTAAATTTAATTTATAATTTTAGTAAAAGGCAATTAAAGTCTATCCAAAATTTGCCTGATATACTCCCGATGAATAATACATAAAATCATCGTAAACATCGAAAGCAGCTACAACAGAACCATTAGCCATTATTTCATTTTGAATGGCTGCTACATTACTTTGAATATAACCTGTTGTTTTAGCTTAATTTAAAAGAATATTTTGTTAAATATTTAAATTAGAGACTAAACTATATTTTTTATCTTGGGTATAAGCAACATTCCAAGTACTCGATGTACATGAAGAGACACAGGACGGAGCAGTGTATTCAGTTGATCCATGGGGAGGGAATGGATATGGTTTACATCCACTGTTCCAAGTATAATTTGTTCCAGTAACAAGACCTTTAATTAAAAATCAGATGATATTTGAGAATGAAATTTATGTAGAACAAGAGATGGCAGGAAGGGTGGAAAAATAAAGGGGAAAAAATGCTTGCCTGGCACCCAAATCTTTGCCTAACTTACGTTATTATCTACAAAAGACATTGTTTTGCGTGATTACTATCAGTTGACAGAGACTGAATGTTTAGTAGGGAGGGGGGGGAGGGAATTCCATTCAATATCCCAGTAAAAATAATCAAAATACCGGAAGTCTGTGTATATTTCCATGCATAGTAAGGATCACCTCCATCACATCCCCACATTCCAGGAGTACAACTCATCAACTCTAGCGCTGAGAAATATACGGATGGATTTGTCTTTAAAGGTGCTGAATTCCCCTTTTTTACTTGACTAATACAATAACGATCAGTTAAAGCAGAGGCAGTGGAGACAGCCCAACAATCTCCACAACTTGATTGGTCCTTTTTTGAAGGATTATTTATTTAATTATTAAAAATTCCTAATTACTTGAATCATTCCAACAATTCCAGCACAAGATGCAAATCCTGTACGAACATCAAAAGAAGCTGGAATTGAACGTTTACGGCGAAGATTTGTTTTTTCGGGAGTAGAGACTTGTTTTTTCGGGACTTTCAGTTTTGCCCCAAGCATTACTGAATGCTTCTCCAATTTAGCAATTCGATTATGTAATTTTGCAATCCATTTCCCTTTATTTTTAGCGTTTGCCTTATCAACTATTTTTTGAGCTTTATCTAACTTTTCTTTTTCAGTCAGATTTGCTGAGGAGGATAAATAATAAATTTGGGCAAAAATAAGGAATAAAAAAATTATTTTTATCATTTTTTATAAGGGTTTGAATTTAATATTTTTATTAATAAAACGGAATTGTTGTCTTAAACCGAAACTTGAATCCATTTTATATTGAATTGAAGATACACTTTATGTTTGAACAACTTTTATTAAAAGTTTATTAAAAATATTTTCGATAGTCTCTTAATTTTTAAAATATTATTGAAATTGACAAAAATATTATCATAAGGTTGCACTTTTTGTTATTTTAATACTAAATAGTTTTTAGGGTGAGCATGATGGTATAGTTAAAACGTAAATTAGAAAAATAATTCATTAGAACCTTAATGTACTTTATAATTAAATCATTTAAATTCTGTCAAAAAATAAAACAAAATATTTTAAACACCAAAATCCAACTTTTATATTTTTCTAGACATTTTAGAAAGCTAAGTAAATATAAGAAAGGTAAAACTAAAAAATTTTTATCCGGACAAACTGTTATTCTTGTGCACGTCTACATCAGGCATAACTCGAACATAACCGGACAACCTCAGGTTGTAACAAACGGCAAATTTTGATATTTTCAGTACTCAACTGGTAAAGGTACTTATCGATACTACCGGTACCGGAAAAATTCATTTGCCAAGCACTAGGATATACACAACAAATTAAGGTACATTTCTGTTTTGTGACCGCACTTTAAAAATGTTTAAAAATGGTCATGAATATCGACAAATTATATGCCATTCGAAAGAGCTCTTCGAGCTGTGTCAAATGAAACAAGATCATTTGGATTCGAAATGGTACGGGCTCGAAATGGTCAAAAGATACAAGGATCAAAATGGTCAAAATAATGAATATGACCAAAATGTATGTCATTTGAAAGAGCTCGGCAAGCTGAGTCGAAAGACACCAAAATCACCGTGATTGAACAAGAATGGGCAATGTTATGATCGTTTGTTTTAGCTTTACCTATGCCGTCCATAGGTTTACGTTGACCATTTCGAACTTTTTATCTTGGCTCATAATCAAGATCTCGAGCTGATTTTGGTGTCATTCGACTCAGCTCGAGGAGCTCTTTCGAATGACAAATAATTTGTCAATATTCATCACCCTTTTTAAACAATTTTAAAGTGCGGTCACAAAACAGAAAAGTACCCAAATTAAAATAAATATGAATATTTATGTTTAAAATCCCAAATTTAAATACAGGGTGCGGCAAATTTTGCGCCGATTTTGTTTTTGCCATAACCTTCTTCAATTTCGATGAAAATTGATAATTCTTTTTTTATTTTATTCCCAACACTCTAAGAAAATTTTTGGTACCAAGTAATAGAAATTTAGTTCAAGGATAATAAAGATATATCCGTCTAAAGATAGAATCGCGCCAAAAAATATTTTTTCACGCAAAAGTTTACTTTACCATAACTTCGCTCAAAGTCATCCAATCTTAATAATTTTGGTACCAATCGACTTGTCTCTACGAGGAGCATCGAAATAGTCTATAATTAGATTTCTGAAAATTTTACCTAAAAAAGTGAAATTTAACATCTAGTTCCTAATCTATCATTCAAAGACCCATATCTCCGCTCAAGAACAAGATAATTGGTTTGTTTTGACGTCATTCGAATCAACTTAAATAGCTTATTCGAATGTTATAAACTTCTCAAATATCAAACACATAGCTTTTAAATTACACGACTTTTGGTCCAAAAATTTTTCAAAACTTTAAGAAAAAACAATCAAATTAATTTCCAAAATTTAGAGAATATTTTGGTACCAAAAATTTGCTTAGAGTGTTGGGAATAAAATAAAAAAAGAATTAGTAATTTTTATCGACTTTGAAGAAAGTTATGACAGAAACAAAATCGGCGCAAAATTTGCCGTACCCTGTATAAAAACATATGTTTTAAATGCTAGTTTTTAGATGAATCAAAAATATGCGAGACATTTTCAGCAAGTGTTTGGAAATTTTGATCATGAAAAATTTTGACAGTTAAATTTTTTCAAAATTTTGACGTGTATTTTGGCACAAATTTCCAAATGCTGCGGCTCGGGCTAAAGTGTATAAAATTGTTGAATAAAACCAATGAAATGCCAAAACAAATATTTTTCTGTAAATTCTACCCATCTATCCAATTTAATTTTAAACCCGTCACTTTTGCCATTTTTATAAAAATTGAGTAAAAATTTATGTTCTTTAGTAAGTTTACATTTAAAAATATTTTTCTACTAAATGGAAACTTTGGAGGTTTAGCATTTCAAAGATTTGTAATTTCAATACACTCCAAGTTTAAAATAAATATATAAGAATATAGGTTTTTTCGGGGCTAAATTTTTTTGTCTTTTTAGTGTTGTTCTCTCAAAAATTCGTTATATAAATTATACTTAGAAATAGGCCAGAAATGTTTAGCCTTTTAAACCTGACACGGTCATGGATACGGATAATACATATCAGGATAATTCAGAATAAGGACCGCTGGATATGGATAGTGCAAGGTGGCCCTTTACCCTATTTCTAGAGGATTTTCCCTATTTTTGACCTTTTCGCCCTATTTTTTCCCTATTTTCTCATTTGCCATATTTTTGCCCTATTTTTACAATCTTGTAAAATTTAAAAAATTCTTCGGATTTTGCTTAAAAATGGTAAAAATGAAGGATTTCTGACTTCTTGGCCCTCAAAAATTCTCAAAATTTGCGCCTTATTTTAAATTTTAATTATGCTTAAGCTTTTAAAGCTATGCCCTATTTTTGCCCTATTTTTGAGTGGCTGCGCCCTATTTTAGTGTTTTGGAAGGGGCCACCCTGGGATAGTGTATTTTTAAATCGGACGTATACGGATAAATAATGATATGATACTCGAAATCCGAGGAATCCATCTCATAATTCTAGCTTGCAACCCTAAGATTGCTTATTGGCCTTTAAAATTCAGATTCTTCCAATCTTTTTCACTGAACGGATGAATACGCCTAAAAATTACACGGATATAAATAGATACGGATAGCAAATGCGAAAGAATGACCATGTCTATTTTAGACCCTTTTGTTAAATTTCAAAAAATGTAAACTCATATAAACTCCTTCGTCTTTTATTTAAAGACTAATAATCTTCAATTTGAATCGCTTGAAGCTTCAATTACTTTCTCTTTTCCCTTTTTAGATTGTTCTCCTTGATCTAAATTTTATGGATATATAGATAAATTATAAATTACTCCTAATTAATTTACACAAATTTATTCATTTTTTATACCTTGTATTACTGGACCTCCTCGACCTCGAGGCATTTGACGAACAGACTCATCAATAGCCTTTCGAGTTTGGACTTCATATTCAGCTGTTAATTTTTATTATAAACTTTTATTGTTAATGGATCGTTTATTACCATCGGTCAAATATTGGTCATGATGCCCATAGTCATCATGATCAGGCACAACATCTTGTGATGCAGGCACAATATCTTTTTAAAATAAGTATATAATTTGCATTATAGAGAGAGACTCTTCGACCCCGAGTACCAGCCTTGGTATTACCGGAGGTACTAGGTTGAATAAATAATAAAAATAACCCATCATAGCGGACGGCGTTATGACTATTTTTATTACTATTAGAATTGATAGTTTATCTGTTATTATGTAGAATTGGCTGAAAAAGTTTTCGAAGATTTAGATATGCAACTCCCAGTACGGTCCTTAATTATGTATAATTATACAAACATACCGTCATTGTGATTAGGCCCAAAAAGTTCGTTATACATCTCCTCTAATGACATGTGTTCCTATTTGTGTATTTATAATTAAATGTTAATATAAGTTTTGATAAAATTTTAAAATTTAAAAGATGAATATGCATCGATAAATAACTAGTCGGTATTTCGTACATATAGCATTAATCATTCCATTATTTTTTGGAATATTCATGTTATTAACTAGGGTGGGACAAAACCGTTTAGCTAAACGGTAAACGGTATACGGTTTTTTCAAAATTAAACGGTTTTGTCCCACCCTATTATTAACCCATAATACACAAATTAACTATAAAAAAATTATAAGAGATTATTAAGTATGTTGCCAGAAAACCGGATATTTAAATGTTTATTCAGGTTTCCCCGGTTTCTGTATTTTAACACGGAAAATCCAGATCATATCAGAAAAGTTGAAGTCTAGTTCAATTTTTGATCGGCTTTTTAACCACCCAAAAATGGGAGAAAAGGAAAAAGTAAAGACGGATAATGCGTGAATACAAAATTACTTGAGGAATTTCTTGTGTATTTGTTTGGTTGCCACCATCACCAATGATTAGGGCGTGTCAAAACATGCAAATGCATATTTTGCCTGCGGATATGCCATGAGCTGAAACGCCCAAAAATGGTGTTTTTACATCGGTTAGAGCACTTTAGAACCCGGTTCTTAATGCATATTTTTGCATATTTCGGTACTTTCGTGCATATTTGCATATCTGTGCATATTTTGGTAAATTTTGCATATTTTTACCAAAATTTGTGCATATTTTGGCATTTTTTGAAAAATTTAGTAAAAATCAGGCAAAATTTTCAAAATTTTGGAATTTTTTGGGCAAAAAATTTTAAATAAAAATTTGTTGAAAATATTTTTCGAAAAATTTTTCGCGAAAAATTTTTTTTTCAAAAAAAATTTTTTAATTGAATTTTAAGTTCATAAAATCTTTTAGAAGTGCTCTTAAACTGCAATTTAAATGCTAAATTAGTAT